GTATATATACATATGGAGTTCAGGTAGCATAGTGATTATGAGTCGGGCTGCTAATCTCAAGGTCAGCAGTTCAAAACTACCAGGTGTTCCGTGGGAGAAAGATGAGGCTTTCTGCTCCCATAAAGATTTACAGCCTCGGAAACCCTGTGCAGGATTGCTGAGTCAGACCTGACTCCATGGTACACAGCCACCACCACTAGTCTCCTCTTAGCTTCTGTAGCCCAGTATTCCTTGGAGGTCTCCATACACCTTGTCATCAATATCCTCTTGGATCTAGGAGTTTCACAGTGTAGGGATCCCTAGTCCAAAGGACACACTCCACTAATGTAGAACCTGTGAAATTAAGACTGCATTTATCCATTTCCAAAGCACAGTGGTAGAACAGGCACAAGGTAGATATTTCCATTACAAATGGAAGAAATGAAGGAAAGGAAGGGGTAATGGGCACCAAATAAGTCCAAAATCCATCAGACAAGTTACATTCACCATCAAGTCTTGAAAAGAATCCTCTGTTCTCTAGACCATCCAGGCAATGGTACTGTTCTCCAGACTCTGGGTATTGGCCATGCTCTCTGGATTCTTGGTAAGGCCCCTCAACCCTGAGTTTTAGTACTGCCTCTCAGGCACACTGTGATAGCAACTGCTCCCTCAGCTTGAAGCAACTCCATTCCCCTAGTCCATCTGAGTGGCAAGTCTACTTCCTCAGCCCTGTCAGGCCACATTCTGCTGCTCTTGGGCATAACAACACTGCATCTTCAGTTTGGGCAACAGCCCCACCCCCTGGCATGCCTTAATGGCAAGTCCACACTCTGGAACCAAGTTGGCAAAGATCCAACTATTTGAAGTCTAGAAAGCTGTGGCCCCAGCCTTTGAGACCCAGGTGACCATGCCCCATGCTTTGAAACCAAGAAGGCCCTACTTCTCATGTTCCTTCTAGTAGTTCTGGTGGAAATGTATGGACCAAAACTCAAAATAATTTTCAAAAATAATAATAATATCAGGATTACTGGTCAGAAAGAGACTGGAGCAACCTAAGATTATGGCCTTCGGCCACCCTTCAGGTCTGGAAAGGAACTCAGCCTTATGACCCAACTTCCAGCCAATCAATAGATTGGTGTATAGGGAAAACAGCAACACTTGTAAGGCATGCTTGTTATGAATAATGGAATGGTCAATCACTCAAAATCAAAGGTTAACATGTACCTAAGGACAAAGATGAGAAGGAATGGGAAGATGGGTGGTATAGAAATAGTATCCACAAGGAGGAAGTTGGATAAATATTGTTCCATGGAGGGGATTGTAATCATTGAGATAAAACTAAGTTTATGATTTGTTAAATGTAAACCTGATGCTCTTGTCTGTAAACTTTTACTCAGTTCACAATAAAAATTTAAAAAACTAAAAACTAAAAATACATACATATATAGATATTGTTTTGCTGACCTGTGAAATTGGTCCTTTTCTTTTCTTGAGGAACAACAGATGTAGCTCCTTTGACCTGTTTCCTGCCTGTAGATTTTCAAGAAGTACACAGATATCCTTTTCAGTCTAAACTGATGGTTTTTCTGCTGTGGTAGTTGGTTAGATCCATCAATCATAGGTTTAATTTCTTCAACACGAGATTGTGTAGTCAGTCATATTCTTGGTGCCAGTTTGTGAAATAGATTTTTCCAAATCATTAAGTTTTGTTATTATTTTGCACAGTGAATGTTTAAGTCCCTCTCTTTCCTCTCACATGTTACTATAAGCAGCAAGGAGAAAACATGCAGCCCCTTTAAGATCTTGCTTAGAAATCTCTTCAGCTAGATATCCAAGTTCATCACTTGCAAATGCTATCTTCCACCAAACATTTAAACATAATTCAGTTCTTTGCCACTGAAGCACATGTTCATCATTTTCTTTAAAAATCTCATCAGAAACATATTTAATGTTCGCATTTCTAGCAACATCCTGTTGTTGGCACCATATATGTTCTCTAAGATGATACTTTCTCTATAGCTCTCCTCACTTCCTCTGACCCTTCACCAGAATCACCTTTGATGCCCATAATTCTACCAGCAGACTCTCTAAGGCAATCTAGGCTTTTACTATTAGATAGTACAACTTAAAACTCTTCTAAGACTACCCATCATTATTCAATTCCAAAACCACTTCTATATTTTAGATATCTGTTAGAGCAGTACCAAACTGGTACCAAATTTTGTCTTGGTTATCTAGTGCTGCTACAACAGAAATATTACGAGGAGGTGGCTTTAGCCGACAGAAATTTATTTTCTCACAGTTCAGGAGGCTACAAGTCTGAATTCAGTGCTCGGGCGCTAGGAGAAAGTCTTCATCTTCTGTTGGCTCTGGAGGAAGGCCCTTATGTGTTTGAGTTTTTGCTTCTGAGTGATCTTTCTGTGATTTCTTATCTGTTTTCCTCCATCTGTGCTTCTTTCGTTCACTTGGTTAATCTCTTTTATATTACAAAGAGATTTATTTAAGACACACCATACACTAATCCTGTCTCATTCATGTCAAAAAGACTACTCATACCCAGATGGGATTATAACCACATGTATAGAAGTTAGGATGTATAACACATATTTTGGGGGGACAAAATTCAATGCATAACACCTGGTAAGATATCTTCAAAGGGTGTAGACCTTCGCAAAAGACAAGAACTTCCCTGATTTGGGGCTGCCAGTACTCTGCTACCGTCAAGTTTACTCTGAATCACAAGGACCCTACATAAGATTTTCAAGACTGTAAATCTTTTGGAAGCAAACAACCTTATCTTTCTCCTGTAGAGTGACTATTGAGTTGACCCACCGACCTGTGATTAGCAGCCAAATGCCTAACCTACAGAGCCACCAGGGCACCTTATTATAAGAGAAGGAAATAAAGAGGCATTTATCTTGCAAATATAAAACCCATCAGAAACCTACATCATGCACATGTCTTCTCATCACTGTTCTTTCTTTTGATTTGAAAACAGACCTTACTTGATGATGCCACAGAGCTGTGGGGAATCCATGTAGCTCGCGTGGAAATCAAAGACGTCCGGATTCCAGTGCAGTTGCAGAGATCTATGGCAGCTGAAGCAGAGGCCACACGGGAGGCCAGAGCCAAGGTAAGGGCCACTCACTCTTTGGAGCAAGCCACCTGCCTTGAAACAGACAAGGGTAACACGGACACAGAAGATCAGGGCTCACAACTATTTGCATAGGAAAATCTGGTTTGCTGTCGAATTGATTCTGATTCATGGTCCATGGTTATTCATGTGCTTTACAGCCCAACTGCAGACTATAAAGTTTTCAATGGCTGTGATGGTTCAGAAATAGATCCATAGGCCTTTCTCCTAAGGTACCTCTGGGTAGAATTAAACCTTTGAGCTAGTAGCCAAATATGTACTACCCAGGGACTTGTTTTACTAGAAAACAGATTCTTTTTTGCAGTTTTTATTGAGAATTTCCCCTGAATGGAAAAAAAAATGAGCAGCCTAATGAGTTTGATCATAAACTGTCAGGGCAAAAGGATACTTAGCACCAAGCAAGGTGAGTCCTAATGCTGGCTGTATGCTGAGTCCCTGGAGAGAATGTGGCAACAATAACACTAGTTCACAGGCTCCCCGTAGACCGAGTGACAGAGTCTCAGGGTGAGTCCAGCAAGTTTACAGTCTAGTGTCGTTACTGGATTAAAGCCAAAACCACTGCTGTGGAGTCGATTTGGATTAATAAAGACCCTACAGGACAAAGCAGAAATTTTCCCTATGGCTTCTGAGACTGTAAACCTTTATGCCAGCACACAGCCTCATCATTCTCCCAGAGTGTCTGGGAGAAAGTGGGTTTCAATTGCCAACATTGCAGTTAGCAGGCATCAGTTCACTGCACCACCAGCTTCCTTATTGGGAAGGATTCAATACCAACCAGATCAAAGTTACAAAGTGGAACCCACCCTGGACGTGAGTACAGTTGGATCTGTCTGACCTGTACCCTCTGTATTGGAATGGACATATTTCCTGATGTAAAAGAAAGCCTAGAAGCATTTTGTATCCTCTGTGAAACCTGAAACCCTCACTAGATTTTCATCTGAATATTAACCAGTAGTACGCAAGATGATGTGGTGGTGTAAGATAAGCACTGGACTGCCAACTGTGCTAACTGCAAGATTAGCTGTTCAAATCTACTAGCCACTTTTGGGAAACCCTATTCAGAATCACTATGAGTCTGAACTTAACAACAACTGCACAAGGTGACCGAGGATGCAACAATGACTGACATTCAAGGTCGAGTCTATTACTGGAATCTTTTATGTAATAAGGAAAAGGAGTCAGTGGGCAGTGCAAACAGTTCATGTGCTCCACTGCTAATGGAGGTTCTTGTCCACCACGCTGTTTAAGGTTAGAAGCCTTTGTAGACTCTCTTATACCCACCAATTATGTTTTTCTCTCTGCCTCCTTTCCTTATTTGCTAAACTTTAGTAGCTCAAGGCAGTAGATTTGGCCATGACAGTTAGAAGGGCAGGGAGTGTCACAGGTAGGAGAGCAGAGCTCCAAAGCATTCTTTGGGAAACCTGCAAACATCATTGGGTGAGACTATGTAAGAGATTTCCATTGGTTTTATCAGACTGACACTATTTGTAGTAGAGAGCTGAAAGAAAAGTGAATACTTCATTTTATCGGTGAAACTAAGTTGGCAACAGAATGAAGTAATCATATTGCTTTTGATAAGTGAAAACAGCAACCAAGCCCATTGGAAGCCTTGGATAGGCCTTGAATTTCAGGTTTCTCTGAAAAGGAATGCCATGAATTAGGAGGTTGCAGAGTATCCAAGAGCGTTAACAGTGTAGTGGCCAAGTATGCACTGTGTTTCTATTTCTGTTTAAAAATGAAATCCAGGGACTCAGGATTTGAAAAAAATCTCACCCACTTCCTGCCACCAACTGCCATTTCTCTAATCCCATTAGGATGTGAAATTCTTATCCATGTCAAAGAAGTAATTAGATGAAATACAGGTAGCAAAGTGCAGGCTGAAGGAAAGGTACCAGTATGGGCATAGAGAAGAAGCACTAGTATACAATACCAAGAGTCCATGGATGGTGCAAATGATTCATGCTAGACTACTAGCTTGGTGGTTAGAACCCACCCAGAGGCTCTGCAGCAGTCAGGCCTGGTAATCTGCTTCCAGGAGTTTGCTTTGGTGTAAGGTCTCCACGAGTAGGAATTGACAGGATGGTGACTGACAATAAAGTATAAAGGAGATCGTGAGGATGGTTAGGGCAGGGCAGTGCTTACCTCTGGTGTACAATAGTTCCTTTGTTATACAGAGCTTTCTTTCTGTTATAAGGTCACTGAGGCTATTCCATGGCAACTTGGAACAGTTCTGGTTGTAACCTTCTGTTTCTGAACTCTTTCATTTCTTATGTTTTAGGTCCTTGCAGCAGAAGGAGAAATGAATGCTTCCAAATCTCTCAAGTCAGCCTCCATGGTACTGTCAGAATCCCCCGTAGCTCTGCAACTTCGATACCTGCAAACGCTGGCCACTGTGGCCACTGAGAAGAATTCCACTATTGTGTTTCCTCTACCCATGAACATACTCGAGGGCATTGGTGGTATTAGTTCTAACAACCACAAGAAGGTTCCTAATAAAGCCTGAGGTCCTCAGATATAGCCAGCCCATTGCCTAGGCAGTCTAATCTATAGCTCACAAGCACCTAACAGTTAGAAGAACACAACACAACTCAAGCACAGTAACTCTACAGCAGGCATAGTATACGTAGGGAAATGCTAGAAAGGCATCAAGAACCAAACTGCAAAAATGAGGGCTGTGCACCACTTTTATTTGTAAGAGAACAAATATCTTTGCAATATTATTATAACATTCATTACAGTTGCCTCTGACTTATAGCAGCACAGTATATAGTAGGGGGAGAAGAGAATATCCTTGAGTGAATGTGATAGAGATTTCAGAATTACTTTTTAATTGATCTAAGAAGCACTTCAAGTAATTTGTAAAGTAACATACATCTCATATTTCAACTAGATATTTGCTATGTAATTCTAAATTGATTATTTCCTAAATCACCTTCAATTAAAAAAAAAAAAGCCCCAAGATTATTTAAATTAAGATTGATGTTGATTTTAAAAAGTTTGCCAAGGTTTCCAGCTGCGAACTAATCCCCAAACACGGAAGGCATGTTGCCCTCAGCTCACAACCAGCTCTCTTGCTGTGTTTTCACCTGGCAGGATTGTTGGCCAATTCTTAGCACCTTTGTCAGGGGGAAGACAGGAAACAGGAAGACAGCAAGTGCCAGGCAGTTTATTTTTTATGAGTGAAAGTGCTTGAAAGGTCTCAGAGGTTGAAATCATTAGGGAATATCAGCCTGTGTATTTCATGTTTACACTCTTGTTATTCCCCAAAAGTTCAGGAAATCAAGAAGTATATGTAAACTCTACTAAAAAATAAATCAAGACCTGTTAAAAATGAAAAGTCCTAAGAATATGGATGTATTAAAAATGTGCTTTATTGAAAGCTATTTTGTTGCCAATGTGTGTTTTCCTCTTAGGATCAGTTTTGTGTAAGGAGCTAAACTTTTTTTGTTTTAAAAATAATTTATTGCATGCCTACTGTGGGTTACACTGTTGTTGTTACTGCTGGTAAGTGCCTCTGAATCAGTTCTGATTCAAAGTGACCCTGTGTAGGGTTTCCAATGAGAAGCTGCTGGGTTTGAATGTAGGACCCTGAGGTTAGCAGTTCAGTGCTTGTGGATTCTGAGAAATATTCTTATTTTACATATGAGATAGTGATTTCCCAAGATTCAATCATTTATACAAGATGCCTCATCAAATAAATTTTAGACTAGGATTAGAACCAAGTCTGACCTTCAAGTTTTGGGGTAAAGGAAAGGGATTGTTATTGTTGTTAAGTGCCGTCAAATTGGTTCTAACTCATAGTGACCCTTTATAGGGTTTCTGAGGAGTAGCTGGTGAGCTTGAACCACCAAACTCGTGGTTCTAACTGACATTGCAGTCCAGTGCATTATTAACCTACAGCGCCACACTAAGACCCCAAAGGCAAGGGAGAGGAGGCAAAAAAGAAAAAGGTATTAAACTCAGATTCTGAAATTTCAAGCACCTTGTAACTTTCTACTATATCCAGGATTGTGAGAACAGGCACACTCTTTCTAACATGCCACATACACTCTCCATAGTACCTCACCGTCCCCCATGCTTTTCCTAACTCCACGTGCCCCATCTCTGTCCACATCACCCCCACATTCTGCCTTCACACGCACGCTACCATCAACACGCACGAGTATGTGTTGTTAGCTACCATTCTGTCGGCTGACTCATGATGAATGATCCCATGCACAAGGAAAGAAACTGCCCAATTCTGCACCATCCCCACAACTGAAAGTGAACAAGACTACTGTGATCTATAGGGTTTTCATGATCTGATTTTCAGAAGATCACCATTTCTTTCTTCCTGTTTTGTCTTGCTCTGAATCTCCACAGAAGTCTTTTTAGTATTACAGCAACGGGCAAGCTTCCACTGACACTTGAATGGTGGTTACACATGAGGTGCATCTACTGGGAATTGAGTCTCTTGTCTGGCAACTGAGAATTCTACCACTGAACTAATCACCAATACTTCATACTATCTACATACAAACGACTTCCATATGAAAAACATGGGGATCACATTCTATCTTTAGGTTTATAACCTATTTTCTTCATAAAATATTTCATAGTTGATAATGAGTTTTCAACAATCCACAGCTCATGAATCTTGATTCCAACACTTATTTAAAAAGACTATTTATTTTTAAGTTTTTATTGTGAATTTAGTGATAGTTTACATGGAAGAACATTGGTTTTACACTCATCATTTCATTGCAATGATTACAATCCCCTCCGTGCATCATTATTCAAAAGTATTTGCTTCTATACCCTCTGGTGGGTTGTTGTATTTTTGTGTGTGTGTGGGGGGGAGGGGTGCAGATATACACAAAAACATTCAGGACTATATAATCATTTAAATAACCAAAGGACACATTCTGCAAGTCTGCCTCTTGAATGCCAGCACTCAGCCTTTCTCTTTCCATGAGTCTAGAGTCCTTAGCTGTTCTATCTCTTCATGTCCTTACCTCTGCCTCCATCTCTGGTGTTGCTGCTTCTCTGGATAGTGTCCCACATTCCACTCATGCTCTTCTCCCTTGATGGTCCTAGGGTCCCCTGTTCCTGGACTGTAAGATTAATTACTCCCCCATTTTTGTTGCAAAACTTCTACCTTTATAGTTGTGACAATCACAATTAGTCATGATAACAAATACTCACTATTGAATAGTAAGAATCTTATCCCCATCTTCTTTCATCAGACCCATTAAGACAAGATGAAAACTATTCAGTAGGGATTCTACCTTCCCCATGAACACTCTGAAACTAAATTCACTCTTGAAAAGTTGTAAGCCAGTCACTCTGTGCCTTTATATTCCCCCCATTTTAGGTAGCCAATGCCCAAGTTGCCCATCCTTATCTACCCTATATACAAGAGGGGATAGAATTGATCCTTGATGTGAAGACTCCTTCCCTCTCAGTTGGTATTTTGAGCTACTATATCCATAAGTATAGGTCAAGTTCAGACTTTATCTTTTAGAGCAGTTATAGATTTACAGAAAAATTGTGCAAAAAGTACAAAGTTTCATATACGCTCTCTCAGTCTCCCCTACACAATTTCTCCTATTGTTAACATCTTGCATTAGTGTGGTACATTTGCTACAATTGATGAGTCAGTATTGATATATTTCTTATGTATTGAGATAATATTACAGTACTGATGCAGTATTGCTTTACTGACTAAAGTTCCTAGCTGACATTTGGATCACTCTGAGTTGCACAGTGTATGAGTTGTGACAAATGGGCAATGTCATGTGCCCACCATTGCAGCATTGGACAAAATAATTTGTTGCCCTTAAATTTTCCTGGGCTTCATCAATTCATTCCTCTCTCTTTTCCCCTGAACTTCTGATAACAACTGCCCTTTTTATCTTCCCTATAGTTGAGCTTATGGAGTCCTGGTGTGGTGCTGTGGGTTAATGCGCCTGACTGTAAAGCCATTTGAACTGCAAGGTCGGCGGTTCAAGCTCACCAGCTGCTCCTGGGAAACCCTATACAGGGTCGCTATAGGTCGGAATCGACTCGACGGCACTTAACAACAACAACAATAGTTGAGCTTTGGAGACCTGGTGTGGCGCTGTAGGATAAGCCCAAGATTGCTAACCACAAAGTTGGTGGTTCAAACCCACCAGCCACTACTTGTAAACCCTATATAGGGTTGCTGTTGAGAGAGGTGTTTTAGTTGTTTTTTTGTTAGATATATTTTAACCCTTTTTAATCATTGTTCTCAATCATTACTACCCTGACAAACTTCTCCCTTGTGTCTGTGCTCCTGGGACATGTAACTGAAGGACTTCGTGGTGTATTTTTGATTAAAACTCAGAAGACAGAAAGAAGTTGGGAGAAGGAAAACCAGAGAAAAGAAAATGTCTGGCAGCCAGGTGTCTTCAATAACACCACCCTTCGTCTGAAAGGCAAAGAGGGAGTTACTCCAGGGGTAAAGGACCTTGAGCTGGTAGAGTGCAGATTGCACTCCTGGAGGGGAAGATGGCATTAAGTTCTGAGAAAGGAATGTGACAAAAGCCAATGGGTTAATATCCAGAGGGTATAAAAACTCCAACCATATGGGGGAAACCAAGGCAGGCTTTGGAGAAGCAAATCCAGATCTGTCAATAAAACATATGCTGATTCTCACCCTGTCTTTGCTATTGGCTACAGTGGCTGGCGACCAGACATTTTTGGCGCCCAGTGTGGGGCCTTCTCAGACTCTCTGGCTTAGTAAAGATGCTTGTTGCTCTTATTTGCTAGGGGACTCCGTGAGCTGCAGGACAGGGAGACCCACCCCAGGGGCATGCACTCCAGACATCCTAAACTCACAGCTGAGATTTATTATCTTGAGACCTCTGGAGCTTGAATCTCTGCATTTCGCGTGAATCCATATGTTTTATTTGGCAAATGTGCTCTTCGTAAAGCTTGTAATCTTCGGTTTGATTGTCTGGGACCAGGATTGTTGCCTGTACACTTTCATGTCTGTATAGGCCTATACTTGACTGTTGTTGTTAGGTGCCATCAAGTCGGTACCGACTCATAGCACACCAGAATGAAACACTGCCTGATCCTGGGCCAACCTCACTATTGTTGCCACGCTTGAGCCCATTGATGCTGCCACAAGGCCAATCCATCTTGTTGGGGGTCTTCCTCTTTTTCTTTGATCCTCCACCCTACCAAACAAGATATCCTTCTCCAGCGACTGGTCCATCCTGACAACATGTCCAAAGTATAAGGGACGAAGTTTGGCCACTCTGGACTCTAAGGAGCACTCTGGCTGCATTTTCTTCCAACACAGATGTTTGTTCTTTTGGCAGCCCATGGCACTTTCAGTATTCTCCACCAACACCATAATTCAAAGGCATCAGTTCTTCTACAGTCTTCCTTATTCACTGTCCAGCTTTCACATGCATATGAGTTTATTGAAAATACCATGGCTTGGGTCAGGCGCACCTTAGTCCTCAAGCTGACATCTTTGCTCTTTGACACTTTAAAAAGCTCTTGTGCAGCAGATTTGCTTAATGCAATACGTCATTTGATTTCTTGACTGCTGCTTCCATGAGTGTTGATGGTTGATCCAAGAAGAATGAAGT